GGGCTGAATAATTTTGATCTAGGAAGAAAAATTTTGGCAGAGAAAATTTGCAAAACGAATGTGATAATACGACTGCATCGAACGTCGCTGATAGAGCCAAAGAATTATAGTTTCCCAGGTATTTAGCAATAAAAATCGTGAATGTGTAACATGAAGAACACGCTAGAGGGAGAATGCTATAAGCACGGCAGGCTGATACTCTTTGAAAATTGAATCTCACGACCCGACGTGGTTTATGGCATGCAAATTGGGTTCGACCTTCCCCGCCGGTCTTTCTACCAAATCCTAATCCAATCCGCTTCTATGTAAAGTCTACCTGCTCTCACTTTTGTACGAAACATCAACTCCGAGAAGCTGAGCCACCTTTCGATGAGCATTCGGTCGATTATTCCTCTAATTCGGTATTTATCCCACTTGTGCGCAGAACGTTCGACAGTCATGGGTCTTAACGAACTGTATAAAGCGTCCTAGGGCATGTTAAAAATATATAGTTACTATTGTGTAGACCGTTTTGATCGTGTGGTGTATTTATATTTCGAATAACTGTTACTCGATCGTTTCATCCAACTTGTTTCTTCGTTGATTTCACCATTTCGCAGTTTCCGCAGTTTTCGTTAATTTTTGCGTGCTTGTGTATTTACTTTTAACTTGTCTTTAAAATTTCTTCTACGATCTTATCGGTTGATTGTTGGTAATTGTTGTATATTATATTAATATCGTTAATTGTTGTATATTTCTACTATTTAGTTGAGCACAAATTGATTTACGTTTGTCACATAGGAATACACGTCAATAAAATATTATTGAATATCGATCAAATATCGAACATTGACGCGAGACTACAGAATGTATTAAATAGAACAACGTATGCGCCTCATTTTACTTTATCAGATTACATTATTTCTCTAAAAATAAATACATTGAAATCAAGATAGAATTTCGAGGAAAAACAACGTCGACATAACAATTTCTGATTAAATATATAATCATACTTTATAAAACTGGGACAAACTTCGGTCCATTAGAAAATTCTGATATTTGACATTTTTATTTTTTGCTGTATAAGTTTATTTATTCTCGCATTAACTTCGTGGCCATTAGCGACCACAATTAACTATACTATACCATAATTAACATTTGACTTGTATTTTTCTATATAATTAACGTTGATTGTTGTTGTTACACAGCTATCAGTATGAAAATGTAACCATGTATTGGGTTGGCAACTAAGTAATTGCCGATTTCAATTATAGATGTCTCTCACTTCCATTTTTATGATTATATTATAAAATTATTATTATTATTATTATTATTATGTTATTTTATATTATCCGTGAATGTTAGCAACTGGACAAATTGAATGCAGCGGTCAAGGAAAAGCGACCAGAATTGGTCAATCGTAAAGGTGTCATTTTCCAGCAGGACCATGCTGGGCCGCACACGTCTTTGTCCACTCGGCAAAAATTCATGGATATTGGTTGGGAATTGATGTTACACCCACCATATAGCCCTGATCTCGCGCCATCGGATTACCACTTATTTCGATCCCTGGACAACTCCATTCGTGGTAAAACTTTTAATGATGATGACGCTGTAAAATCTCACTTAACTCAGTTTTTGGCCGAAAAGGATCAGACTTACTACGAGCGTGGAATTTTCAAGTTGTCAGAGAGATGGCAAAAGGTCATCGAACAAAATGGAAAATACATTACAGATTAAACTTCGTTCCAAGTAAAACAAAATTTTTTATTTCATTGAACAAATCGGCAATTACTTAGTTGCCAACCCAATAGTACAGTTTGCATGTTTTCGTTTCGGAACAGAGGAGTCCGCAGTTAGATCATTGTCGTCTTACACAAGTATAATCTCGTAAAGCCTGCCCAGAGTTCGATTACAAAGACTACTAGGAATGATTCGTTCGTACCCCGCGATACATCCGCATCCATGTACATATTTAATGTCAGATCGCGCGGAACCCCTTTCTATTTCCATTATGGCGAACGATTAACAAAAGGGGGCTCCCCTCTGTTGTCGAGTTGAACCACAGGACGACCGCGCAACAGCTGTCCGATGGTATCGATGTCCTTCGATCGAGATATCCGCTTCTTATCGACTCGTATATCGCTCGTCCCTTTTTTCATTCCGTTTCTTCTTGCGGGTCAGTGACGCAGCTTTTTCTCACCTTCGGCCGTGTGTACCACGGCAATTACAACGCGCACTAATTATTCTCGTGGCGGAAAGGGGTGAGCCGCCGGACCCCTTTGCTTTCTCTTCGTTGGCCGGGCTTGTTGTACAACTGCTCTCTCCAACATTGTCGTAAGAAAAAGTCGACCTTCTGCACGTCTGCGATTTGCAAATCAACGAATCAAAATTCGCAACTTTCTCGCGGTGCGAAGCAAACACATTTTCCGTGGTCTTGCAAAAACTTGTTGAGACGACGTGGAAATACAGGGTGTGCCAAAAATGTCACGCATTGCGGAAATGCCGAGTTCCTGAGGTCATTTGAAGTAACTGTTTCCTTATCGAAAATGCAACCCGCGGCTTCGTTTACCAGTTATTAATGAAAAACAGTGACCAATGAGAGGCCGAGCCAGTTCTTACGTTCGCCAGGACTACGTTCGCTCGTTGGCTGGGCCGACACGTGCTAGCCGAGCTGGCCTCCTATTGGTCAAAGTTTTTCGTTAATAACTCGTAAACAAAGCCGCGCAATTGCGCGAATGCATTTTCGATAAAGAAACGATTACTTCAAATGACTTCAAGAAATCCCCATTTCAGGATTGCGAGACATTTTTGGGACATTCTGTAGATTGCAGATTTTATGCATTTACGAAACGATGGACACGTCGGGAAGTTTTCGGGCTGTCGAATATTGTTACGTTCAACTGCTTTTTCTTGCAACCGATACAGACAACGGACAATGTTTACCTTGCATTAACACTAGATTTTTTACGGAGCATAAAAAACAGCTGTTTTATATTAGTTTATAAAAGTAACAATATGACATTTATTCTGATTTTTAACAAGTGTTATTGTAACATTTGCCGTAAATAACATATAAATTGAAGAAAATGACTCATAAATGAATCTTTACGATATGAATAATTGAAAATTAAAAAAATTAGTGACCCGTCATTTTGACGGGATCTGTAAATCTAGTGTCAAAGATCTCGTAATCTGTAAAGATTTTACCATATGAATAATAAATTATTATTAAGCTGTGAATTTTATGCACTTACGATAAAAATGAGTAGCTGAAATATAAAATTGTGAAGACGGTAAGAATAATTTATAATAATATTGTTTAATAAAATTTAGTAAAAATTTAATAAAATCATTGAAAGGAACAATTTATTTTTATTCCATCTATCTTTAGAAATTTGTTATTTTGCATAAAAAACCGCAGTCTAATTTATTACCATATTTCTCCAATATGTAACTAATTTATATTTGTCTTGTAATCTGCATATTTTCGTTTCTGTTTTCAGAAGACAGTTCAGGCAGAGGTGTAGAGAAAATATAACGGGGGTCTCGATTTAAATACATGTTATTATTAACGGACTGCGACGGCTGCACAATAGACCCGAGAACAATTTGAAACAGAGACACGATTATGGACGGCTGTCGCAACAATTCAAGTGTTTTCGTAGGTTCTCTAAATACGGACTACAGCGGAGGTTTAGTTGCTGAACGGTATCAATACAGGCATTCTCCGAAACTCGGCGGGAGTAACAGTTTTCAGGGCTTCATGGGTTTTCGAACGGAATGTACTGCGGGAAAATCGTGGAATTCTACTATATAAAAAGTGAAACAGTTTGAAGAATTATAATTCTACTTAATAATTCTTCAAAAAGAATTATGATTCAAATACAAAGTGCAACAGTTTGAAGAATTATAATTTAACTACAAAGTGTAACAGTTTGAAGAATTATAATTCAACTAAAATGTGCAAAAGTTTGAAGAATTATAATTCTACTGAAAAGTGTGGAACAGTTTGAAGAATTATAATTCAACTAAAAAGTGCAACAGTTTGAAGAATTATAATTCTACTGAGAAATGGAACAACTTGAAGAATTATAATCTAACTAAAAAATGGAATAGTTTGAAGAATTATAATTCTACTGAGAAATGGAACAACTTGAAGAATTATAATCTAACTAAAAAATGGAACAGTTTGAAGAATTATAATTCTACTGAGAAATGGAACAACTTGAAGGATTATAATCTAACTAAAAAGTGGAATAGTTTGAAGAATTATAATTCTACTGAAAAGTGTGAAACAGTTTGAAGAATTATAATTCTACTGAAAAGTGTGGAATAGTTTGAAGAATTATAATTCAACTAAAAAGTGCAATAGTTTGAAGAATTATAATTCTACTGAGAAATGGAACAACTTGAAGAATTATAATCTAACTAAAAAATGGAATAGTTTGAAGAATTATAATTCTACTGAGAAATGGAACAACTTGAAGAATTATAATCTAACTAAAAAATGGAATAGTTTGAAGAATTATAATTCTACTGAAAAGTGTGGTACAGTTTGAAGAATTATATAATAATTCAACTAAAAAGTGCAACAATTCGAAAAATGATGATTCTACTGAAAAGTGTGGAACAGTTTGAAGAATTATAATTCGAAAAAGGTGCACACAAATCGCGTCACCGTAACATTAAAGTTATTATTTAACGGTCAACATCGATTAAAAAGGTCGCTTCTTGAATTATTTCTTCATTTGAAAAATCAAACTGTGGCTCGCGCTTCAAAGCTCGTCGACTGTATAAATGAGCATCGAACCGGGTCATTATTTATGCGACCATTTTACCGGCTGTCAACGCGTGAAATATTCATCGGATCGATACATAGTAACAGAAAAGCGATTAGCCGGAAACGTCACAGGGGTTACTACAAAACAGGCGGTTTCACGCAATTTATATCGGTATACACGACGTTATTACGTTTTTTTTTTTTGTAAATAAGTATTACGAGAAAAAATTGCCGTCGCTCGGAAAATTATGAGTGAAGGATATACAAGAAAATCTGCATCGAGATAGAAACCTGTATCGTAGTTCGAGTATGCTAGTGAACAATTAGGCGAGAAACTATCCGGAGACGAGCTAGGGAATGGAATATAACCGGGAACCGTGTCCCTGGAGGATTATCGACGACTGCGGAGGCGCTTTCACTATGGGTGCCATTTGTGGATCACTCTTTCAGGTGAACCAATCAATTTTTCATTTGGATAAAACAACGCTTTGCTAGAAACGTCAGATAATGTATACTTCATTCTGTCGTGTTCAATTTGCACCATTATTTATGGATCATGTCAATTTTTTATATTATCCATCAATTTTGATTAAACAGCATGCGTTGTTCGGATAGAGTTTTATTAGCTAAATATCGTTATATAAAAAAGAATTAGATCCTATTCCAACGACCGTGGTATACAAAATGACCGCGTGAAACAACATCGATGACACGTCACGTTACGTCGCGGCTATGTTTATGTTTGTGTTGTGGCGTCACGTAAGGCAATCATGCGCGCGATCATATTTCACAACAAAACATCTAATGAACGATTTCGTATTCGGTAAACAGATCGTAGGATACTTTTCCAGTTTGAGAAGTACACCGGTCAAAATGACTGGCATCGATCCAAGTGGCCACGGTACGAAATTATTTTGATTAAAATAAACGAAATGAAACATGAAGTAAAATAAAATAGAAATAAAATTCATTCTAATACATCTTTAACACGTTCCGTGCCGAGCTTTTTTTACTCGAACCTTCACACTTTGATATTTTACTAAAACTTGATGTATTACGTGCTATTATTAATTCTCGTACACATAACAACGTAACAAAAACTTATCAACGCCCATTCTTGCGGTGGAAATTGATTCTTCGGTTCTAAATTTCTTGTAAACAATTTGTTCAGTTCACTAAGTAAACATGCAAGCGTGTACCATCGATGGTACACGTGGCACGGGACGTGTTAATTATCGTTGCAAAAATCGTCGCATTGCTGCGGAAAGAAACATGCAAGAGTTTCAAAATGAAATTGTAAAGCCAGTCATTTTAACCGGTGTTATACAGGGTGTCCCGAAAATGTCTCGCAATCCGAAAATGGCGGGTTCCTCGGATCATTTGAAGCAACTTCTTCCTTTACAAAAATGTTCTCCGAGGCACCGTTAACGAGTTATTAACGAAAAACAGTGACCAATAAGAATCGAGTACGGCTGACGCGAGGCGGCCCAGCCAACCAGCGCACGAAGCCCAGTTCCGCTCATTGGCTCGGTCGCCTCGCGCCAGCTGAGCTGGGATTCGACCGCTCGACCGCTGGCGCCGTTGGCTCGGCCGACTCACGCCAGCTGAGCTGCGATTCGACCGCTCGACCGCTGACGCCGTCGCTCGGCCACCTCGCGGCAGCTGAGCTCGCCACTCATTGAGCACTGTTTTTCGTTAATAACTCGTTAACGGTGCCTCGGAGAACATTTTTGTAAAGGAAAAAGTTGCTTCAAATGACCTGAGAAACTCGTCACTATCGGATTGCGAGACATTTTTGGGACACTCTGTAGTCCCAAAAGTGTTAAAAAAATTCGCGTGATCCGGGACGGCCTTTGGACTCTCTAGCCAGCTGCCCGTACCGACCGAGTCATAGCCAGTATCGGCAGGCAGCCGAAATTGGCCAGCATCACCAGGTGTGTTGAACTTGCAGAGCTTCATCGGATTCCGGAACGCGCCTTCGGGAATCAATAAAAGGCTGCTCGGCGGTCTGTCGGCGGTGAAGAACCGTGTGCCCCAAGTGGCCGGCAATTTCGCGCTCTGGGGTGGCCTGTTCTCCGCGATCGAGTGCACCCTGATCCGCTGCAGATCGAAGGACGATCCTTGGAACTCGATCCTGAGCGGCGCTCTGACCGGAGGCGTCCTCGCCGCGAGGACCGGCATCCCGTCGATGATAGGAAGCGCGACCGTCGGCGGCGTGTTCCTGGCGTTGGTCGAAGGGTTCGGGATCATGGCGACGAGGCTTCACGCCGACTCCTTCGCCCAGCACATACAGATGTACGACGCAGAGAATCTTCCCGAGTTCCAGGGTCTGTCCTCTAGGGCCAGAATCGGCTTCAACGGAACGCCGGTAAACGCGGACCTACCCCCGAGGCAAATGAACGGCGCGAACTCTGTCGACGTGGACAGAATCGGCAAGGGCAGATGATGCCGATCCATGGAAATCCCGGTGAATTTTTGTCGATCGGTCTAGCTTTTCTGGGACGGTGCCCGGTACGACGCGATCTTTCGAAAATTCCACCGCATGTTTCGTTCTGTCTGCTTTGATACCGGCTTTATCTTTTTAGGGGATTCTGGAACGATGCGCGTGTACTGTGTGCCATGGAATTTCGTGTTTTAATAAAATATCGATTGTTCGCACGTTGTTGTGTGTTTGCGCTGTTGGAATTTCAAAAGGAGCTCATTTGTTTCCGATTTTCGAGGTTTCATTCTTCGTGAATATTTCGAAAAGATTTCACGGTGACGGATGAATAATCACGAAATTTACGAGACTGTACAAGTCGTAGGAAACATAAATTCTCATTTCGAAGTGGTTGTGTACGTCATAATTAAACTGCGAATCTTTAGCGATTGAAGAATGCCCATTCTGCTAAAGATTGGGACAGTTTGAAGAATTATAATTCTACTAAAAAATGTGGGACGGTTTGATGGATTATAATCCTACTAAAAAATGGAACAGTTTGAAGAAGTAGATGCAATTTTACTAAAACTGTGGAACGGTGTGACGAAGTATCTACAACTTTACTAAAACGTGAAAGTGTTCGAACTGTGAAGTACAATTCTATTAAAAAAATGAAACAGTTTGAACACAACAGTTCTATCAAAACCTGTGAATTTCGAGTGAGTACAATTCTATTAAAAAATGGGCGAGAGTTTGAACAGGTACAGTTCTATCAAAAATTGCGAAGTCCGAGGAAGTACAATTCTATTAAAAAATGGGCCAGTTTGAACAGGTACAGTTCTATCAAAAATTGTAAAGTCCGAGGAAGTACGATTCTATTAAAAAATGGGCGAGTTTGAACAGGTACACTTCTATCAAAAATTATGAAGTCCGAGGAAGTACAATTCTATTAAAAAATGGGCGAGTTTGAACAAGTACAGTTACATGAAAAATTCAGAAGTTTGAAGAAGTGCAATTCTCCTAAAAAAAAATGAATACAATCTACATTAGCAAACATGTTCCTCTTAAGAAACCATTTCCTCCACACACGAGCCTTCCAAACGTTAAGCCAAATGACAGCAAAACCGTGTTCCTCGGAACAATTTAAAAATCAAATTGCCAATCGAATCTTACGGCAGAAGAACATAAACTATTTCCCCAATTGAGCAAAGACCCCTAAGTAGCTTAGCTTGCACGGTACCCGGAAGACCTCGAGAAACGAATGGCAGTACCAGCACACGACCGACCATCTCGACTATCTTCTCCATCTGTTGCCCATCGTCGATGGACACAGATCCGAGAGATAACGAGAACGTTTCTCTCTCTCTCTCTCCTCTCTCTTCCTCTTTCTCAACGTGGCTAAGAAACGTTTATTTGGCAAGGTGGTAATGACTGTTTTGACAGCGGCTCGCGCTCAACGACCAGGGACAATTCGGAAGGTGCAGCCCCCGGACCCGAAGCCCATTGTCGCTGACACCAGATTGGAATCAATATTTACACTCAAGCCTGTGTAAGCCGCGGATTACCGAAGGCTCAGCGGCCCTGCCAACCCTTTAACGATTCAGTTAGCGGTCGTACGAAAAATTGTACGGCCGAAAGGGCCCGTCCTAGGCAACGTCCACGTGACGGCGCGACGAACCGTTTCGAGGACACTCGAAGCAGCAAGTTCTGCCGCGCTCGGACGCGGTGCCTCGACGGGATTTAGCGCGCCGCTTCTGGTCCGCTCGGCGGAGCCAATTCAGGGGCGACTATACTCTCGATAAGCATTCGGTTAGGATCAGCTTTCATCGGCGACAATGAGATCTCGATAGTTATTGTGCACGGTCTATCAACGGCGCGTGGTACGCTGAAAAGCATCCCCGCCGGAGCGGCGTTGGCGTGGATAATTCGGAATTGGATCATCCTGGCCTGGGAATCGGGCACCATGTGAAACACCGTACGACGGCGTATTTCGTCTGAAAAACTAGCCTAAAGTCGATGCAAAAAAATCTTCTGGATCTATATAGAATTTTTGGCTTTCTGGCTTAGTCGAATGCATCGAAAATGCACTTCCAGTATCTTCGTTTTCATTCGATTCACTTATGCTTTGCGAAAGCATAGATTTTTTTGGCGTACCGTTTCTCTCTTGCGAATTATTGTCACCAAAGACACGGCAGACGACTTAGAAATAAATGGGTTCCACGAAGAACGAGACTAACTTGTTTGACACGTTGAATGCCACGCCGGTTTTACAGAAATTGCCCGTGGCGCCACGATGAATTTTTTTTTTTTATGTGATACATATAATGTTGAAATACTATCTGCAATAGATAAGTTACAGTGTATAACCATGTTTGACATGTTAATTGCGACAGGGGCCACTGTTTGAATTGACGATGGTAACAATACAAAATTTTAGATATTGACATTTGTTTGAAATTATATATATTTCTATCAATTTGGGCGCGCCGGTCACCGGTGGCCCCCATGGCGTCACCGCCAAGTTAAGTGCCGGTCACCGGTGACCCCCGTGGCGTTCAACGTGTTAATCTCGTAAATTTGTGTTAAAGTAAAATAATATGAACCGTCGTATCAACATTGTAGCAATTAACACGTTGGCTGCCGCGCGAATTTTACGTGACTTGCCCAAGGCGCCAACATGAATTTTTCATTATGCGATGCATATTATGTTGAAATATTATTTACAGCAGATAAGTTTAGTTGTATAAACTTGTTTTATGCATTTTTCGTGTGGCGCATTGTAATAAATTACAATTATTATAATATTATATTATTTAAAAATTTATACGTATCGATGTTTACCCTAATCATGTATTTTAACTATTCGTCGCGTCGTCGGTCACCGGTGGCCCCCACGGCGCTGTAGCCAAGTCGAGCGCCGGTCACCGGTGACCCCCACGACAGCCAACGTGTTAATGACAGGGTTGATGGAAAAAAGCAAATAAGCAATACCGCGTATCCAGTTAAATAATGATGTATATTTTATCCAGAGTATGTACACGTGCTATTATATTTAGTGTCCTTTTAAATCCGTTTATATAACTGCGACAGACTGCCTAGACCCAAACAACTGAAACAAAAAACTCAACGCACACAAAATAACGGTCGAGGAGTGACGATACCTCTGGGCACCAAGGAAAACTATGATCGTTGAATGCCAACAAGGATATCATTCCGAAGTACTTTTGGACTCGCGAGAACGAATAAAATCATTTTCGGCCTTGTGTGTGACGAGTTGAAATTTAACCTTTCGAGAATCACGGCATTTTTGCATTCAGATTTTCTGTTATCTTTTTATTAGGGAAAAAATTTGTATTCTTTCTTTTGTTCTCGGACGCTGCTGTAACGTTTTCAAAATTGTATGCGTATATTAGACGGGTTGTATACCGCCTTTGGCAGCTTGGGTTGTCCATTCGGGCCAATATGTCAGTTCGTGAACAAGCTGAACTCGATCGTGTATAGAATGTCTGGCTTAAAATGTAAAGTTTGATAATTGCCGGCGGTGTTTGAAATAATAAACAGCGCGAGCGTGATTAAATGAGACAGGTAAAAGTGTAATCCAGCTAATGCAACAGTATCGTGTGGTTAAATGTAAGAATCATTAGCTAAGCGAGTAAGAAACCTAAAGGTTAGTGAAAGGTGCAGGCGAATGACGGGTTAATTGATCTTGGTTCGTGAATTTACGGCGTTTCATTTTGACCAGCGACATCGTTACGGTGGTTTTAGATACAGGAAGTATCAGAGTAAATTGAAGAGATCGTTCCGCTTAATGGAGAAGCATAAAGGAAGATATAATTTTGAAGTAGATTTATAGTTTTTTCTGAGAGATAACTAAAAGCTTAAATTAAGAATCGCGAGATAGAGAATTGGATGTTGTATTAATAGAGCTGGGTCAAAATAGCTCCATCACTGCTCTGACTTAAGCAGTAATTTTCATATAATCTTTACGTCATTAAATTGTCATTAAATTATAATTTAGCCAAACGATCCAGTCATTTTTCTACCAATTAGCGATTGGAATTAGCACCGTGTACCTATACTAATCTTTCACATACTTGTATCAATTAATTACATAGGTATATATAAGCAATTTTTCATTTCATGTTCTAATATCAAACGTCGAAACGTATGATTCGTGCCGCTTCTCCCATAACAGTCAATGTAACATCCGGCAAGAATCAATTGCTGTTTGGACGATACTAACGCCTCTTGTAGAGATAAACTGAAGCTCCGTTCTGAGTCCATACAGCGCCAATTAATAACACGACAAAACGCCGAAACTGCTAACCAAATTTGGTTCAGAATCCTGACACAGATAGCATCAACATACAAAATCTATGCCACATGTAGATGCTAAAATTTTCTATTTTATCGACAATATTAGTGTCGATCAGTTACCAAACTATGTTAATGAAGATTTTGTCAGTTTATTGTTGCATTATCAATGAATTTCATTTCATAGAAACAGTTTATAATAAATCTTCAAAGAATAATTTATTTATTATCTCAATAATCTCACGACAACACATTTAAAAATTACAAATATTAAAAATTAAATTAAATTACAAGTGTGAGTTTAAATACGAAAGTCAATTAGTTGAGTTACATAGAAACCCTCACAAACTCATAAAAATTTTAGTTATTGTAAAATTTTGTTAGCAGCATAAATAATATTTTCAATCAATTTATAAGTGTAACTTGTCTGCTGTAACAATTCCACGAAACATTCATGCACAATTTTATGAATACGCGATGACCACATACTTATTGTGAATTGTATTTTGTATTTTTTTGAGCCGACAACATTGTACATTGTATGTATTTTTAGAGCCGTCAATACCGTAATTTCTGCAGTCTGCAATACTGCAATCTTACGCAGTTCTCTATTATTTTGATTATTATATTATAACTTATATATATAATATAATAATAATATATTATATATTATATATATAATATAATAATAATATATTATATATTATATATATAATATAATAATAATATATTATATATTATATATAT